CTTAACTGTACCCCACAAAACCATAATAAAAAATATTGATTAATGAAAAAAAAAAAGAAAACACAGACAATAACAGACAAAAAAAATCTTCTGAAGTTTACACACGAAAATCGGAGCTGTATTCAAACATGACATATTTTCTTTCCTTCTTTTGTATTGCATGGAGGCTTGCATATACTTAGCTGAAGTCGTATTATATATCTAACTCTAAGTTCTAAATTTTCACCTTGAACATTTTTATATCATCAATATTTAGTCATAAACATGTTTTAAATGTTGGCATATCATTACATTATGTAGGAACACTATAAATATTTAAGTATATACCTACTCTGGAGTACTAAAATTAGTATTTGCAATTTTTCATTGTTAAAAAGAACACTATCAGGAACTTCTATGTACACAAATCTCTTTTTGATCATTATCTTAAGACAAATAGAATTTAAGGGTTAAGGATATAAAGATTTTAAGGATCTTGTTGCATTTTGCTAACTGGCTTTCAGAAAGGCTGAGTCAACTTAACTCCTTGTGTTTGAGGATGAACATCTCATCACAACCTTGTCAGTAATTACAATTTTAAAAACTTAATTTTTACTAAGACAGACACAACTTTCCATATTTCACCAAGTCTAAGATGCACATTTCTCAAAGTTTAACATATATGAAATTAGGAACGGATATATATTACAGTCAAGGGTGTGTTTGGGTTTATTTGACAGCATTTTTTTTCTTAATGGCACCTAAAAATGGATGCATCTTACACTTCCTGATATCTTAGACTCAGTGGAATATAATAGTATCTCATTTAATTTATATTTTTTGGCCACTAGTGAATAACCATGATTTATACAGAACCATCTCAGTATACATTTCAATATGCCAGTGAATTCCTTAAAAAAATTTTAGTTGTGATTTAAAAACCACATAACATAAAGTTTATCAATCATAACCATGTTTTAGTATCCAGTTAAGTAGTATTCACTCTAGTCACGTTGTTGTACAACAGATCTTTAGAACTTTTGCATCTTGCAAACTGGAACTCTGTACCCATGAAACAACAACTCCCCTTTCCTTCTCCCCCAGTCCCTGGCAACCACAGTCTACTTTCTGTTTATTTGAATCTGACTACTTTAGATACCTCGTGTAGGTAAAATCAAACAGTAGTTGTTTTTTTGTGACTGGCTTACTTCACTTTGCATAATATCCTCAAGGTTTATACACATTGCCAGCATGTGTTAGAATTTCCTTCTTTTTAGTGGTTGAATAATATTTCACCCAGTCAATTTCTAAATCATAAAGTTCTATAAGCACTGGCAGAAACTACTGACCCACTGGTTTCTGACAGCACAGCTAAACAGCTAAAAAGTAAAAGACAGGCTAGGATCTCAAGGGGTTTCCAAGTGCCAAAACAAATGTTGACTTATTTTAAAATACAAAGATAAAAGGGAAATACAAAATGTAGACAATACCACCAAAATATTTCTTAAATCACATATGTTCTCCTCGTAGAATTTTCCATACTTTTCAAGGCAGTTAAGCTTGACTATTGCAATTTGAGACTTTATAAACACAGGTGCAGTGATATCATGCCCCTTTACCAGGAAAATAGGAAGTTCTGAGTTCTGAAACATGGAGTTGAATTTATTCCTCAAGCAAAATAATTCTGTGTTGACAACAAACATAATGCTATTAACTGCAGGTGCAGCAGGCCAGGATGAGGGGCCACAGCAAAACATAAACTATTCTGAAATTAAATGTACTCACAATGTCACCTGTCATCTAGAATGTGCCATTATAAAACTAATAAAAATTATATGGCAATATGCTAAAGATGGAACTAAATAATATTTTTGCTATACTTAATTCCCTTGGCAACGTATTTAATTTCAATCCTAAGATTCCAAAAAGAAAGCTTAATATTTCTATAAGAAGACTTAATTAGAATATAGATTAAATAGTTATATTTATGATTGGTCACAGAACAAAGAAATCTTATGTATTATCCACATAATGGCATCCACTTGATTTATTTTCTCTAAAAATGAGAAGAGAAATGCAGTATTAGAAATAACACTTAAACATAAAAAGAAAAGGATGATAGAAAGAACACTATATCCTCACGTTGGTTAAAAATTATAAATTGCATTTATTTTTTCGCTTCTTACATTAGTCTCTGAGCATGTCTACTGTTACAAATAAGAAGAAAAGGAAAAATTGTAAGTCCTGAATTTTGTCCTACTGAGATACACATTTGATAAATATGTAGAATTTGGGGGAATGTATTTCAAATGGACTATTATTCAATTAAGTTTCAATTTTAAAAGCTATAAATTATTAAAGCCATGATTCATGTTTTTTCTCTTCAAGATAATTTTAAATGTATACTTTATCTGTAATTTTGTAGATATAAAATATATATTTATTATACAAAGATATAAGAATAAACAAAAAACAAAAAATAGGATCATGGTGTTCATATTCTACATTTCACAAAATATAGGGAACTCTAAAATATCACTTCTAAAGATATACAATAGGATATTTTAACTACATTAGCTATTTCTGGGCAACAATTTCTTACAATTATAAAACTACACTAATATGAATATCTGCATATTGTAAATTTTGCTCATATTCTTATTTTTTTTTCATAGCAGAGAAATTCCACAGATTGGCATTACTGGGAAAAAGGAATAAGTGTTGCTAATGTTTGTAATGAGATAAACTAGACTCAGAAAGGTGGACAATTAGTCCTTCACTAGCAGTCCTGAGATGACTTGTCCCAGGTCTTTGTCCAAAGTGAGCATCATCATCCTTGGTTGTTTTTTCTTTTGCTAGCATGGACTTTTTACACATGGTTTTAATTCCTTTCTTGGCACTCTACTGCAGGCTGAGATGCTTCCTCCTCGGGCCTCTTTCCTCGCCCTCTCCTTCACAGCTGCCCACCTTGCATAGTGATCTGAAGGCTCTCCCTACCTTCTCTTGTTCCGCCTACTTCCTTTCTTCTTCACGTTGTCCTAGTAGGTCCCTTTCATGCCTAATTCCATCGTGGCATCTGCTCTCATAGGACCCAAACTAACACAAGGACTTTGTAAATATTTTCAGTATTTGCTAACAGTGATTGGTGTATTTAGATTTCGTCCTCCTGGTCAGTTTTTATATTTATACTTCCCTAGACAATCTCTGTTCAGTGTTTTCTGTTAGATGGCCATAGTTGTTCATGACATCACCTGGTAGTCTTTCACTTGCTAGTGTCTGTGGTTATATATGGTGTATTTGTATTTTATTTTTTTGATTAGCCTCATCAGAGCTTTGTATATATAGTATTTGTATATATAGAGAGAGCTTTGTATGTTAGTATTTTCAAAGATGTAGTCATTGTATTTATCCATGTTACTGGACACTTTATTTATATCTGGACATGAAACAGGGGGCATCAAGCCATGCAACCCACTACAACATAACTTAAATCAATATCTGAACAGGTCCCAAAGGCTTCTTTTCTTTTTAAAAATTACAATGCCCTTTAATGACAACAGAGCAGGTCAACAAATAAGGCCTCATCAGGAACGGCCTCTAACTCTGGTGATAATCAGCTTTGCAAAGAGTTAGCTTAGGGGGCTCAAGAGCTCCCTCCAAATACTTGAGAAGTTGTCATGTGAAAGGGAAATATGACATGTTCTGAGCTACCATAGGGGACAGAGTCCCAACCAGTCAGTGGCATCTGCAGGGAGGCAGATATCAGTTAAATGAAAGGGAGAAACTTTGAAAATGAAACAGAACGGGCTACTGGAAGGTGGGGAGTTTTGTGTTTGGGGGGCTTAGATAGAGTACAAGCCAGCCTTTTTGATGATGCAGATACTGTAGAAAAATCTTTAGTGACAGACCCCCTATGACCAATGCCTTCTGGTTCTCATATCCTCTTGTGATCTCCTCCCCTTGAGTATGGGTGAGCCCTATAACTTGCTTCTAGCCAATATAATAAGGCAAAGGCGACGGGATGCCACTTCTGAAATTATTTGCATAAGAGTCTAAGCTGCAGATTCTAAACAACCCCTCTTCCCCTTGCTGGCCTTGATGAAGCAAAGTGCCACTCGAAGAGGCCCACATGGCATGGAGCTGGGGACTTCCTCCAGCTAACAGTTAGCATAGAAACCACGGTCCATAGTCTGACAACCCACAAGGAACAGAATCCTGCCAACAACCACACAAGCGTGGAAGCAGATCCTTCCCCAGTTGAGCCACATATAAGCCCCCGGCCCTGGCTGACACTTTGACTACGGCCGTGTGAGACCCTGAGCAAAGGACCCCATTAACCTATACCCAGATCCCTGACCCACAGAAACTGTGAGACAACAAATATGTGTTTTAGGCTGCTCAGTTTGTGGCAGTAGATAATTAATACACCCTTCCAAATTTAAGATTCAGTAATCAGCACAGAGACTCCCTTTCCTTCACAAACATACACACAAAAACCCCACTGTATCAGTGCAAACCCATTCTTATAACTGTCATTAATAGTGTGTCTGGTTGACTTCAGATGGGGATAGTAGATTGTGACAGCTTGGAGCCTGTTTCCACATTTGGAGCATTCCATATCGTGCACAGAGACATATAAATGGATACAACTCTGATCTCTTTGGATTACCCTGGGCCAGGATTCTGTACAATACAGGTGACTCCATCTCCTTAAGTAATTTGTTGTTCTTTCGTTTATTCTCTCAAAAAATTCTCCAAAGAAGACACAGTCTTGGATATTCTATCGTCTTTAAGAAAACAAGATCTTGTCTATAAGAAAACTTACCATACCCAAGAATATCATCTCCTCTTCTCTCAGTTTTTCAGTTTCCCTACATTGATGGAAACCTCGCCAAACCTAAAAACAAATAAATGGTTAGTTGTTTAGTACATAAAAATATAAAGAAAACATTGCTATGCAGCTTCTCCCATAAAAGCAGCATGTCACAAATGTCATAATGATTATAAACTCCAGTGTGCATGTATGTTTTGATGGAATATTTTTCTTCTGTGTTCACAGTCAAAAAAATTTTTAAAAAAGAATGAACCACAGAACTGACCTATAATTCTCATTAGCAAGATTCCCCTACCTGGGTTTTTTCCAGCAAAACTTCTAGATAGCAAGAGTGTGAGGTGAGATCTAAGGACGGGTACATTATGGTTATAAAAAAAAATCCAGCCAGGCTCGGTGGCTCAGCCTGTAATCCTGTGCCTTTGGGAGGCTGAGGTGAGTGGATTGCCTGATCCCGCAGGTTCAAGACCCGCCTGGGCAGGCGAGACCTCATCTCTACAATAAATCAAAAAATTAGCCAGGCGTGGTAGTGCACGCCTGTAATTTCAGCTACTCGGAAGGCTGAGGCGGAAGGATCACTGGAACCCAGCAGGTCGAGGCTGCGGTGGCCGGGAGCAGCCACTTCACTCCAGTCTGGGCAACAGAGTGAGACTCCAACTCAAAAAAAAAAAAAAATCCAAAGTAATGTGGAGAAATATAACATAGTAACTGACAAAATTTGTACAACTCAAGCTTTGAACCCAGGTGCTAACACTTTATATTCCCACAGAAATTTGAAAGTAATCAATTTCTTATCCATCCCTACACACCTCCCTCTCCCATTCCTACTCAGGCACAAACAGTCCTGATCTTCTAGCTCAATTTTATGTCCTTATACTTATTTGCTCTCAAACCTAATTTGCCTTCTTTTGCATTTTCTGTAAGTAATCCTAGACTCCATTTGAAAAAAGACAGAGCACAAGTCATTGGTACTAATCTGATTGAGGGAAGAAAACCTCAAAGATTCCTTCTAGAAGAAACACTGAGGTTCTGGTTATTAGTGATGGTTGCTGGCATTTAAAAAAATGGTATATGTTTCTGCAAGCTACTGGATATTAAGACTTGCTCCCTGCTTTTGTAATTATATGTCTGTGTGTGAATATATATTTTCTTTCAACCTTCTTTCAACAATTCAAGCAACAATTATCAATGGTTTTTAACAATATATGAGTCAAATGCCTATAGTTTAATAATTATTTACCATAAAAGCTCTAAAATGTGACTAAGCTTAGTTAATGGTTTCCTCAGGGTAAGTTAATAAATCTTTCCAGAATTTAATCCAGTTCTACTAAAGGTAGGATTTGGGGTTTGCATTTCAAAGCACCCCCTGAAAGCTGGTACACATCTCTAGCACGTAAGACACCTTGTTCCCCAATTCCAGGAGCCCTACAACTGTACCTTCTGAATACGGAGTGCAGCAGCCCCGGTATCTGCCATTCTCTCACTGAGTAGCTTGGCTTGCTTTGCTCTGTATTCCTGGAGATAGATTTGCTTCATGAATAATGCTCTTAGGCGACCTTGTCGGGCCCTCTCAGCAATCTGGATTAATTTAACAGCCTCCTCAAGGGGAATAGCCTTTATATAGTATTTCTGCAAAAAAGTTAAGATAAATCAATGTTCAAGCATGTTAATCACATTAACTGATCCCAGACACATTGCATGTCCCCAGACCTTACTTCTAACACTACTCTGCTAAAAGTCCCTGCAGACAATCGAAAGCGTAAGAGCTGCTCAACATTATTCATTTTCCCAACAGATTATGTATATTTTGATAATATGCCATGCTCATGCTGTGATCCCAAATTTAAGGACCCCATAGCTTTCCTCTACCCCTCGGAAAAAAATACCAACTAGCTCCATGCTATTTAGATCGGCAGCAAGTTATACTTAAAATGTCAATAAAATGGATTCAGTAAAACTTGAAATTGCTATCAATAGTTCATTAACTTAATAGTAGAAACATAGACATTAAAAATATAGCTCTAATATAAGAATTTAATATGTAAAATGTACATGAAGTAAAATGCTGAGTTTAAAATCAATTACAGAATGACCCAGTGAATATGACTAATGTTAAAATCATTTTAGGGACATTTTATTTTATATGTAAAATGCCTTCCAGTATCTATAAATTTGAGTTTTAAAATATCCAAACTCGATGAGTATTGTTAAAATTGAGAAAAATCAGGGTTTGTGCAGTAAAACATTTTAGGAAGTCTTCTAATGGGGTATGAAGTGACAAAGTTAGCTGAGGGGCTGTGCCATTTTTTGAGAAAACAGGGACAAGAGCAAGGGCTCTGCGTGTATCCCAAGGTTTGTGTGAGCTCTGAGCGGGCTCAGGGGTGAGGACCACTGCTATCCCTGGAGCAAGAGAGAAGCAATGCAGGTGGCCTGGTTCAGGGGATGACCATACATGGTTGGAGGCAGAAAGGAGAGCCCATAAGCGAGAAAAACAGAATCCATTTCCAGGCCTCAGAGGGCAGCGATGGCTGCCACAGCAGGGTGAGGTGCAAGGCACTGAGGCCTCCAGTGTGGAGTGTTCTCACCTGGGCTATGGCTCCCCCAGACAATCACTTCCATATGTAGGGATCAAAGGAGGGAGTGAGAAGGAGAGGGAAGGGACATTTATTGAGAACCTATAGATGCCAGATACTTTCCACATATAAGCTCATCAAATCCACAAAAGCAATCTCCAAGGCAGGTGGTATTGTGACCACTTCAGAGTTAAGAAAACTGAAGCCTGAAGAAGCAAAGTAACTTACACAGTTCCCATGGATAATAAATGAGAGAAAGAGCTAATTTGAATGGAGGTTGACCCTCTTTCCACTAAACCATTCACTACTCCTCAATATGGCACAGAGAATATGGTTGCTTATGAGGAACCGCTTTCACATAACAATCCCTTGAGTTATATTTTCAGTAAGATTTTGTTGGCTACAAATTTGCAGTGAGCACACATTTTCAATAATGTGCTTCACATGTTGGAGTAAAATGAACATTATCCTACCATTAAGTCAGTTGATATATATAAAAGCACTTAAGCATATAGTATCCAGAAAATACTAGTAAGTATTGTACTTATTTTGGTTTTTGATTCCATACTGTCATTCTGAAAATAATCAGTCATTATTGAATAATTTTGAGGGATTTTGAACTTCTAAGGAGGCGCCAATCGTGGATATTACACATTACAAATGTAAGAGATGGATAATAATTTTCATTTATCAAAATTCTTCTTGAGATATATATTGTAATATGGTCAGAAATAAGCAGTTTAAAATGAAGGGGGTAGTGAGGCACCAAAGGGCATGAGAAAGTCATAGTAGATGCCCAGGGGTTGTCAACTGGAAGCCCTCATGGCTTGCTGAGACTCTAGCACATCTGAAATAAGACCGGGGTTGAGAAGAACAACTCTATCCAATAGAGGTAAAAGGAGCTGGCCAAGCCTAGAAGCCAAAGATGAAAGGAAGTGAGAAACCTCCCCTCTGCTGACCCAGCATGACCAAAGAGGGACAGTAGGCACAGGAAACAGTAAAGAAAAATTTTAAGGATTTTACTGAAGTGTATGATACAATCACCTCCCATCTCCATCTTCCCCTGTAAAGACTTCAGTGAGTTCTGTAGTGTTCATCACTGCTCAGTGCAAAAGGATTCCTTCGGGGAATTAAATGAAGTCTGAGTGCTTTGTTCTGACTGATGGATGGACAGAAAGCACAGACACAGAAGCCCAATGGCAAAAGGATGGCTAGATGACTCCCAAGTAAGTTAGCCTTGGAATTGACTTCAAGGAATTAATAATGTAGAAAAGGGGCCAGTAGTTTGGGGGATGGGCACAGGAAGGAGAGTTAGTCTTGAGTTAGGTGGGTGCTATGGTTTGAGTTTGTCTCCCAAAATGCATGTGTTGAAAACTTAATTCCCAATCAAGGGCGTTGAGACTTTTGAGAGGTGATTAGGTCATGAGGGTTCTGCCTACCCAAATGAATTAATGCTGTTATTGCTTCAAGTACTCTCTCACCATGTGATGCCTTTCACCATGTTAGGATGCAGCAAAACGCCCTCACCAGATGTGACTCCTCAATCTTGGACTTCCCAGCCTCTAGAACCATGAGTAAAATAAAGTTCTATGTCTATATTACCCAGTCTATGGTATTCTGTTATAGCAACACAAAACAGACTGAGACAGTAGGGTCAGGAAAGGTTTCTTGAAGGTGAGTTCTGCAGAATGGGTATCATTTTGATGGACAGATATGTAAGACAAGAGATAGCACCAGGCTGGCTGATACAGGGAATGTACTTTGCCTGTCTTCTGAGGCAGGCAGAAGGGGTACTTTTTCCTTCTACCATCCCTAGCATAAACATGAAATCTTCCTTAATACCATGACCCAGGGTGGCAGTACCCAATGGGGCTTATTTGTAGAAAGACTGCATGTGCCAGTCTATTCTGTATATCTTGGTCTCTACCTGCAGTCTCAGTATAGTTACTCATAGTGCCTCCTTTTACTCTTAAGTGACCATCCAGCTTGAAGGGTCAATTGCTCTCTTACTGTTTGGATCATGAAGACCAGCCAAAGAAGTGAGGCAGTAACTTCATAGGCAACAAGTCACCAAAATATGTAAGCAGCTCTGCCAGAAGGTGGATAGGACAGTGTCATGTAGAAAAGACCAGAAGAAGACTGCCCACTAGCAGACTGCATGGCAGATTACTACAAGAATCCAGGAGGAGGTAATGAGATTCAGGACAGAGACAGCTGTGAAAGTGGGAGGAAAGTGGAGCTGCACAAATACTGGGACAAAGGCAGTATCGGGGTATAGAACTAATCAGATTCTACCCTTTGCTTTCCAGGAGGGATCTTTAAGGACATTTTTTTCTTCTTTCTCCATAGATAGTCCATTGAAGGTGATCTAAGAGTCACTCAACATGAAGTTATAAAAGGTCAATCAGCATTGTTAGAAATTTTAGAAAGTGTTGTAGTTTTCAAGTTTCTAGTAAGTTATGTCAGCACTTAATTATTTTATATGAACAGCATTTAGCATCTGATTCTAGCTAGGTAATTTGAGATGGGAAATTAAGCTGACTTGATAATTGCCTTAGTCTTAGAGATACTGCTTTAAGTAGCAAAGCATTATGTTTTGATATCTATATCTAAGCTCTGGAAAAATAATGACTATCTATCACTAAACACACATCCAAAAGTTATGCAACTTCTTATATACTGTACAACAATGGGGGTGATTCTCTCTTAAATTGAAAACAATTAAATTCATTCTCATGCAGTTAGAAGCCGCATAAAAAGAAAGTTCTATAGATTACAGAATAATGTTTGTTAAAATGGTATACAAACCACATCAGCTGTGTATAATCCAGTGTCAGCTAATATTTGTGCGAGAATTTTCTCTCTCTCTTTTATTACTTCCAACTTCTCCCTCAAAAAATACTTGGGTATGGGAATATCTAGTTGTTGCTAGAGAAGAGAAAGAATAAACAAAAGTGTATTTTTAAAATCATGATTCCAGGACTTGAATCCATTTAAAACATACATGAAGGACATGAGCATCAAAAAGATTTGCTTTCATTCCCATCCTCATTTAAGAGAGAGGAGGCCAGCAGAGTGAAGAGAATTTATTACAGCTAAGGACACACAAGGTCAAAAGAAAAATCATAATCCTGTGCCTTGTCTTAATCATTACAGTAAAAACCTCGGGAATTCATATCAATTAGGTCTCAATTATCTAATGATTACTTAATGAATTCCTTTAAAGAAGTATAATATTATCTCATTCTATCTAAAATAATGATTCAAATTGGAATAGCAAAGTACTGAGCTACAGGGATCTTTAAATTAAACCTAATATTTATCATTAGTAGCAACAATCCTTTGTAAGTAAATGGTCACAATTTTTCTACTTATTTGGTTTTATGTTTATGAAAATTGTCTCATTACCAAAATTATTTATAAAATTAATTTGATTTATTACGAAACTTGTTTTTTACAGAATCAATATGAATGTCTATCCTTCACTTGTGCATATTACCAAATACTCAAATCAGTGGAGGTCAGATGAGTATTTGCCAGCTCAAGTTCAATAATCAGGAATGTAGAAGTACTACTCAAGAATATGAGTAGGCCCTTGGCCAGTCCCATTGAGAAACATTATCCTAGATACGCTGTCAGACCTGCCTGGCAGCTTTCTGGTAGAACAGTTGACCAGGGAAGCAAAGATTTTTGTCTTCAGCATCAGTTCCCACTTTCTGCAATTCTGGGTGTGACTCCCTATGCCAACCCTCTAAACCAGGGAATTTTGAATAGGCCTTCCCTTAAACAAGCATTAAAGTCTAAGGGGGGGTGGTGACGTTTTTAGGACTTGGTGGGACAGTATTCCCATGACTTCTGGGAGGTGGCAATGGTTTCTGAACATTAACATTTTCTTAGGCTGATGGAGTTTTGGGAGTGATCTGAGAATGAACTGCCAGGGTCCAGTGGGTGAGTATGACCTCAGGACAGAGGGCAGACAGAGAAGAATGACTATACTTTTATTTTATGAGATTTTATTTGTCCAAAAGCACATTCAAGTGTTGTACTGTTACAACTTTTAAGATAAAAATCTATTGTTATGGCTCCATATGGTCCATTTGGGAACATAACATTATAGGTAGGCTTTTGAGGCTGAGAAAATAGAGCAACTGAGAGTGGAAGAGAGGGAAAGACATATTGCTAGCTGGATTTCCACCCATGATATATTTTATGTTCACTCCAGATGCCTGGCATTTCCCATTCTCTATGGAGTGAAGCGCAGGAAACTTCTGGTAGCAGAGCAACCCTCTCACCCTACATGCTTCTTTACATAAGGTAAACCAATTAGGAAAAGGTCCTTATGTGGCAGGTTACACAAAGAGTCTTCTGGCAAGTTTATCTAAAAGAAGGACAGGCTAAGGAAGGATTTAGGACTGTGGAACCAAGGGCAGAAGCACAACAGGTGTTTGTCAACAACAGGGATACATCTGGGGATGACAATGCCTTCAGGGTTCTGCCTGCCATTTATCTCTGTAGCTCTTGGTGAATCTGTTTTGTCTTCCCTTTCCCTCTTTCTCCCTGAAGAATGGTTCCCTTCATTCTTCAGAGCATCTGGTTAACAATGGTTCCAACTACTGACAAGTTGGGAGACTATAGTTCAGATCCTGAGAAAGAAACTAGTCTCACTTTCTTTGTTCTGGTTTCAGAATCTCAGGGAACAACAAGAATGGCACATTTATGAACCAATCCCAAACCTGAACCAATCCACTGTTGTCATGGGCACAGGGTCCTATTGGACAAATAGCTGGGTGCTGGCCAACAAATCATTGAAGAACTGTGAACTACAGGGCGAGGGCCACAGAGGCCAAACACAGAGGGTGTGAGTTGGTCAAGGTTCCACCTTGAAAGGCAGAAATGGGCTGCACAGGGTTGGCATGCTTGTCTTTCTAGCCAGGGCACAATGCATGGAGCTCATGCTGCTGTTGTTGGATGAACCCTTGACCATGTGGACTTCAGTGACATCATATGGTTCAATCACTGTTCCCAGCACTGGTGGAAATCACTGCAAATGGTCCCCCTGCAACAAAAGCTTCCTAGATGATATTTGCTCATTTGTCATTCCTCCCAGTGCTTGGTGGTCTGCATCACTATAGCAGAGTTTTGTGGTCTTTAAGAAGATACAGCCACCAGAGCGGAGGGGCTGGTTGGAGCAATATGAAAAGCAGGGGAACACCGAAGGAGCCCACACATAGAGTCCGCACACATATTAGTCCGTAACTTTAGGGATATTATTCAACATCCTTGAAATTAAATTAATAGATTTAATATTACTTTCTTAAGTTTAGGAGTATGATTTTGACTATTTGTCTCACATAAATCCTAAGCTGTTGTTCATATTCTCACTTGAGTGAGCAAAGTATATCTGATTAAATCCAGTGATTTATCTTTTTTCTTTTCATTCTCGTTGTCATTCATTTCAACAAATTTTTAAATTTCCATCTTGATTTCATTGCTGACCCAAGGATCATTCAGGAGCAAATTGTTTAACATCTATGTCTTTGTTTGGTTTCATGAGTTCTTCTTGGAGTTAATTTCTAGTTTTATTCCACTGTGGTCTCAGATGGTGCTTGATATGATTTAATTTAATTTAATTTATTGAGCATATAGTCTATCTTGGAAAATCTTCTATGTGCTGATGAGAAAAATGTATATTCTGTAGTTTTTGGATAGGATGTTCTGTAGTTTTCTGTGAGTTCTATTTCCTCTAGAGTCCTGGTTAACTCCTATGTTTCTGTGTTGACTTTCTGCCTTGATTATCTGTCTACTGTTGTCAGTGGAATGTTGAAGGCTCCCACTATTATTGTAATGCTGTCTATTTCTTTTGGGGCTGGTAGAATTTGTTTTATAAAGCTGGGGTCTCTAGTGTTTGGTATATATATTTATTTAAAATTATTATGTTTTCTCATTGGATTTATCCCTTTATCATTATATAGTAGCCATCTTTGTCTTTTTTTTTTAGGAAATCTCATTTTATTTTTTATTATTTATTTATTTATTTACTATAAAGATGGGTACAATTAAGGGTTAAGTATATAAACAGCAATCATGCAGGTACCCTTGTTGATGAGGTATGCCGCTCCCTCCCCTAGCACTTTCCCTCAACTGCTACTCCCACCCCTCTCCACTGTCAGTTTTCCACTGCTGTCAATCGTTTTCTTATAGCATTATAATTGTTCAAGGTCACCTTATGAGTGAGAACATATGGAACTCAGTTCTTTGCTTCTGTGATAAATCACTAAGTATGATCGACTCCATCTTTTTTTTTTTTTAACAGTTGTTAATTTAAGTCTGCTTTATCTGATATGAGAATGGCTACTCCTGTTCATTTTTGGTTTTCATTTGCATGGTATATTTTTCCCCACCCCTTTACCTTGAATTTATAGGAGTCTTTGTGAGTTAAGTGGGTCTCTTGAAGGCAGCAGATATTTGGGTTATATTTTTTAATCCATTCTGCAAGTCTATATCTTTTTAGTGGGGTATTGAGACCATTTACATTCAGGGTTAATGATATGTAAAGTACAATCCTATTCACCATACTGGTTGTTATCTTGTTGCTTTGTTTATTTATTTTCTCCATTGTGTTGGTGTTCCATAAAGCCTGTAGACTTTATGATTTCCTGCATTTTTCTACTGGTGTATTTTGAGTATTTCTTGTACACCATCAGTCTAGTGGTGACAAATTCCCTCAGCATTTGCATGTCTTTGAAATATTTCATTTCTCCTTCATTTATGAAACTTAGTTTTGCAGGATACAAAATCCGTGGCTGACAGTTACTCTGTTTGAGTAGATTGAAGATGGGGCCCTAATGCCTTCTGGCTTGTAGGGTTTCTTCTGAGAAGTCTGCTGTTGGTCGGATAGGTTTACATTGTAAGTTATTTGATGTTTTTGTCTCACTTCTCTTAGAATTCCTTCCTTCACGTTAACTTTGCATAGCTGAATGATTATATGCCTTGGAGATGACCTTTTTGCAATGAATCTTCTGGGGGTTCTTTGGGCTTCTTGTAACTGGATGTTTAGATCTCTGGCAAAGCTAGGGAAATTTTCCTCCATTATTCCCTCAAATAGGTTTTCCAAACCTGTTGCTTCTTCTTCTTCTACAGAAACACTTATGATTCTTTTACATAATCCCACATTTCTTGGAAACTGTTTTTTTCTCTTGATTCATTTTTCTGTATTGTTTTCTGATTGGTTTAATTCAAAAGCCTTGTCTTCACATTCTGAGATTCTTTCTTTTGCTTGTTCTAGCCTACTGTTAAAACTTTTCACCGCATTTTATACTTCCCTTCTTTCTTATACCTCCTCCCTTTTTTTTTAGTATCTTATTTTATACCCTTCATTTTATACCTCCTTCTTTTTTTTTTTTTTTAGTATCTTATTTTAAAGATGTGTGGTACAATTCAGGATTAGGTATACAAGTGGACATCATGCAGGTAAAGTTTGGGCCTCCCTTTGGTCCTGTTTGAGATCAGCTACCCTTATTGATGTTGTGTCACATGCCCCACCCCAGCAGTATCTCACTACTGCCAATCCCTTTTTTATAGTATTATGGTAAATGTTCAGGTCCACTTAGGAGTGAGAACATGTGGTACTCTGTTCTTTGTTTCTGTGGTGGGTCACTGAATAGTATAGACTCTAAGTCCATCCAAGTTGCTACAAAGTCCATATGTTTGTCTTTCCTTATGGCTGCATAATATTCCATCAGGTCTATATACCACATTTTTTTAATCCAGTCTAGTTTCAATGGGTAGCACGGTTGGCTCCATGTTTTTGCTATAGTGAACGGTGCTGCAGTAAACATGCGTATGCAGGCATCTTTTTTGTACAATGGTTTGAGTTCCTCTGAGTATATTACAGTAGAAAGATTGCTGGGTCATATGGAAGGTGAATTTCTAGTTCTTTTAGAAATCACCACACTGTTTTCCATAGAGGTTGAACTAGTCTGCATTTTTACCAGCAGGGTAGAAGTGTTCCCTTTTCTCCACATCCTCCTCAGCATCTGTTGTTGTTTATTAATGATAGCCATTCTTAGGTGGGATCTCAATGTGGTTTTGATTTGCATTTGTCTGATCATTAGTGAGGCTGAGGACCTTTTCAAGTGTCTGTTGGCTGCCTGTATATCTTCTTTTGAGAAGTGTCTATTCATATCTTTTGCCCACTTTTTAATGGGGTTGTTAGTTTTTTTCCTTTCAGCATGTTCAAGTTCTTTGTAGATTCTGGATGTTAGGCCTTCGCCAGACATATAGTTGGCAAAATTTTTTTTCCCATTCTGTGGGCTGTCTCCCCAATCTATTGATGGTTTCTTTGGCTTTGCAGAAGCTTTTCAGTTTAATGTGGTCCCACTTGCCTATCTTATCTCTTTTGGCATGGGTATTTGAGGTTTTGATCAGGAATTGGTTGCCTACTCTGATTTCTGTAAGGGTGTCTCCTGAATTTTCTAAGATTCTTATAGTTTGAGGTTTTGCATTTAGGTCCTGTTTCAATCTTCTGCATGTGGTCAGCCAGTTTTCCCAGCACTATTTACTGAAGAGGTTCTCCTCTCCCCAGTAGTTGTTGGTAGAGGTTTTGTCAAGGATGAGTTGGTTAAAAAATTTGCTTTCAGAATCTCTATCCTGTTCCATTGGTCCATATGCCTGTTCTTGCACCAATACGAGGCTGTTTTGATTACTGTAGTCTTATAATAAAGTTTAAAGTCTGGAAGTGTAATACTGCCTGCTTTGTTTCTTTTGCTGAGTATTGTTTTGGCTATTTGTGGTTGTTTATATTTCCATATGAATTTCTGTATTGTTATTTCCATGTCTGAGGAGAATGATGTTGGTAATTTAATGAGTATAGCATTGAATCTGTAGATTGCTTTTGGTAGGATGAATATCTTAACAATGTTGATTTTTCTTATCCATGAGCATGGAATGTTTTTTTTCATTTGTTTGTATCTCCTTGGATTTTTTTGAGCAGTTTTGAGCAGTTTTTTGTAGTTTTCACTGTAAATGTTTCTTTCATTTCCAGAATTTCAGCTTATTTTTTTAAGGTGTCTATATCTTTGGAAATTTTTTCATCCATGCCCTAAATAGTTTTTTAAAATTTCTTTATGTTGGCTTTCAATTTTCCCCTGAAGTCCATTGACCAATTTTATCATTAACCTTTTAAATTCTATGTCTGAAATTTCAAAAATTTCATTTTGGTTAGGGTTTATTGGTGTGGTCTTTTGGAGGTGTTAGAGAACTCTGTTTTTTCATATTGTCAGAATTATTTTGTTCGTTTTTTTTCATTTGAGTAGACGACCTCTTCTTATTTGAGGCTGGCAGGGGCCTGACATAGGCACTGTAGGATTCCCTTGGTTATATTAAATCCAGTGGTTTCATTCATTCTCTTATAAATGAATGTAATAAACATAGAAGTTTTGGAATGATCCTCAACATTTTTATTCCTTACAGTTATTTTCATTAGTCTACTTTGATAAAATAAACTAATAATGCTAGGTAAGTCTATCCCAGAAAGAAACATAACCTTTATGAAAGTCCCAATATTTTCAAAGGGAAGAAACATTGAACTCTCGTGTACAAAAGTAAATACTTTGTGGGCAAAAGATATGAATAGACAGTTCTCAAAAGAAGATATATGAGCAGCCAACAGATAACATGAAAATATGCTCAGCCTCACTGAAAAGAAATGCAAATTAAAACCACACTGAGATACCACCTAACTCCAATCATGATGGCCATCATCAATAACTCAGAAAACAACAGATGCTGAAGAGGATATGGGGAAAAGGGAGCACTTCTACACTGTTGGTGGGAGTGTAAATTAGTACAACTTCTGTGGGAAACAGTTTGGTGATCCTAAAAGATCTAAAAACCGACCTTCCATACGATTCCACAATCTGCCTAGTGGGAATATACCCAGAGGAACCCAAATCACTCTCTGAAAAAAATACCTGCATACGCATGTTTACTGCAGCATTGTTCACAATAGTAAAAACACGGAACCAACTGTGCTGCCCATCTATAAAAAAAATGTGGTATATATACATGATGGAATATTACGCAGTCACAAATAAGGACAAAATTTGAACTTCACAGCAACCTGGAAGGACTTAGAGTCTATAATACTGAGTGGTCTATCACAGAAACAAAGAACCGAGTATCACATGTTCTCATTCATAAGAGGAGCTTGAACAATTACAGTAATATTATAAGAAAAGTATTGGCAGTAGTGGGAAACTGCCGGGTGAGGCGGGAGCATACCTCATCAACAAGGGAACCCGTATAATGAACATTTGTATACCTAACTCTGAATTGTATCCCACATCTTTAAAATAAAAAAATTTAAAAATAAAAATAAAAAAGGAAAATTACATACTTTCATCTTTTTATTTTAAGGAAATGTTCCTTTCAAACTGAAGGGTAAGTTCACAGGACCGTGACACTTAGGAAAGGTGTCCTGCGGCTCCTGGCTGACCCACCAAACAGAGTATCATTAGAAGAGGTCCCAGGTACCTAGCAGGGAAGGTCAGAGGGCAGCAGTAGGGGCCAAGTGCCCCCAGTAGGGCACTGTGGTTACCAGGTGCCAGTAAAGAGAGCTGGAGGAGCTAGGGAGGACTGGGGGATGAAATAGGAATAGGGGAGGGGAGGAAGGCAAGCAGGGGGAAGAGAAGGAGAAGCAGAAAGGGAAGAGTAGGGAAAGGGGGAACCTTTCTTTGGAGTTTGAAGATCAAAGGCTCACAGCCATGTAAGCCATATATCCCCCTTGGTCATCACTGACCCAAAGCAAAGGAGGCGATGCATCCATCAGGAGTAAAGAACCCACAACCAACAGGGTACAAAGAGAGATTTCCCATGTAAACAGAGGGCATTGCTATTGGATATTGGCAGGGTTGTGCTACAGGATATTTATGAATGGGTCAGCTTACTCTATTTCAATAGACCTCACTGAAAAGAAATGCAAATTAAAACCACATTGAGATACCACTTAATTCCAGTCAGGATGGCCATCAAATTGAAGGGCTATGACACCACAACTGCAGTGTTTAGCAGACCCAAGAACTGTGCAAAGATTCACCTGCACCAAAATCGAAGGGAACCCAATTCTTGTCCATGACAGCATGGTGTAATTGAACGGAAAAGTTTAGATTTCCAATCCACCAAACAACTAGTACATATGTCTAGAAAGTTTGTGGAGTAGTGGACACAGGCCTACATATTTTATGTACAACAAAAATAAGCAAATAAGAAAAAATACAACAGAGTACTTACAGGAGCCAACTTTAGATCCTGTAAGATATCATCGAAATAATGAAACTCAGTTAATTCCAATTCAACCATCTCATTCTTCAGTTCCAGGATGCGACCCATCACTCCATCCAGGATTTTGCGGATCAGTATTCGTTTCTGTGGATGGACTATCTGGTCATAGACCATCTCCAGGTTTCTAAAGATCTGCACATATTTTATGTAGAAGGTGGCTAACATTTGGAAGATTAAAACTTGATTTCTTTGTGGTTCTACCATCTTCTGAGACTCTGTATCAAGCAAAGAATTGAGGGCTTCTTGGGTCTGATGCCACAACTTATTATACATTCTGAGAGAAGATAGAGAATTTAGAAATTATAGTTAATAAAAATCACTTTGTAAGGCATACATATTGGGCGTCTGGTATAACAAAATATAATGCATAATCAAGTGTGACCTAAGAATACTGAGTGTAGTTACAAGGCTTTCTAGACCATTTATGTCCTGTTATGGTGTATATGTGATTTTTGAATATGACTATCACTATTATTATCAAATAAATAGCTTTCAAATCATTTGTTTAACTGACATAAAGGTGTCCCTCACTATATCTATGAAGCCAGTATAATTATATTCATTTAAATGATGAAGTAGCTGATATCCAGACTAACTAGCTGATTTGTCCATATACACAGCTGGTAGAGTACAAATTGGAACAATCACTTTGGAAAGTAATTTGGCATTATCTTATAAAGTTGAACATGTGCATACCCTATGAATGAACAGTTATATTCTACAGAAACTTGTAAGTATGCATCAATAATGATAACAGCAGCATTTTTTATAATAGCAAAAACCTAGAGATAACCCAAATGTCCATCAATAAGGGAAAGGATAAATAAATTACAGTGTATTCATCAAAGGATTATTACACAGCAATGAAAAGAAAATGCATGAACTACAGCTAAAGGCAACAATGAAGACTCTTAGAACCATGATGCAATGTAAGAAGTGATGTGGAGACTGTGGCCTGGGAGGCTGACCTCTATGGACTGCACTAGCAGTGTTCCCTTGTCCTCATTTCAGTGAGTTGAGTTGGTGCAAGGAACACACAGGAAGTCAGAGGGTGGGAGAAGAGCATAATGAGGGTATGTACTCTCCTGCTCTCTCCCTAGAGAGACAAGGGTTAGATACATCCTTCCACCAAAGGCCGAGGGTAGTGATGACTCTGTTGTGGCTAGCCCCAGGGCTCTGCTGGTTTCCATCCTTTGCTGGTTTCCCTAGACTCTGTCCCCTTTATTAGACCCTGATGAGAATGCCTCCTTTTCCTGCCAGGACCCTGACCAAGACATCCATGGTAGAGACTCTCCTGCTCCCAATTTCAGGTGAGATTTTGGTTTTCCTTTTACATTTAAGAACCAGGATTGGAAAGTAAACCAGAAGCTCAATGTGCCTGAGAAAGCGTTTCACTGTGGTGGGTGGGTGTGCAGAGCCCTGACCACTGATTTCCTGAGATGAGGGAAAAACCTATGAATGTCACTGTCTATCTGTAAGGTCTTTCCCTTTTCTAAGGGGAGCAGGCAGCCCCAATTCCCTGATGGAAAAGCAAGAGGGTCAAGGGGGCCGAGGGCTCTCACCTGCTCTTTGCAGTCAGCCTGACTGCTCAGTCCCATGCTTACTTTGCCTGGCATCCCTGAGTCCAGAAGGCCCGCGTGTGTACAGCTCTCTGGGATGTATAAGTGATTGGTGGCCTTCTTTCATCCTATATGGAACTGTAGGCAGTCCTTCATTTGCAGCCAGACCTCAGAAGGACCAGCTCCCCTTTCCAGGGGAACTGCTGGTTATTTTTTTATCAGCCCTCACTCCCCATCCGCTGGCCTTAGGGTCTCATGTTTTCTGCCTTCCTCCATTTCCTCTCATCCCTTTCTGCTTTCCCTCCCCTGCATGCTCTTGATATCTCTTGTCAAGTGCTCAAATGTTCTCTGTCCTCATAAGTTCACAGCCTTTTAAATCCTTTATTGCCACTTTGGAGGTAATTCAGGGGGAAGTGGAGATAAGTCCACATGTTCAAGTCACCCTGTTTAACTGGGAGTTTCTCACCTGCCTTCCCAGGATCATCACTAAGCATTCCTCTCTGCTCCATTCCCGCCATCTGTCATTCCTTGAACATGTGCCATGTTTCACTATGATAAATGGAACCATCATTTATTGAAGCACTGACCATATGTGGGTTTTTTAAAAAAATCTTTCTGACCAAAAGTTAAAAGCATATCTTTATGTGAAAAGTCTTTTTGGTTTATATGATGATGATGATGGTGATGATGGCTGTGGTGGCAGAAACAGCTTACATTTACATACTGTCAGTCACTGTTCTAAGTGCTTTCATATACTAACTCATGTAATCCTCACACTAACCCTATGAGGTTGATATAATTATTAGCCTGATTTGCAGATCAGGAAACTGAGGCACGGAGAAGTTATTGCTCAAAGTCTAATGATTTGAATGCAGGGTTTGTGCCTAGACAGTTGGGCTCCAGAGTTTATATTCTGAAACACTAAACTTTATTGCTTCTGTTCGTCAGAAAGATAGCAAGTGAGGAAGGGAGGGTCATGTGGCACATATGTGACAATACCACAAGAAGAAAAAGATTGAGTGTCTAAAAAAGAAACCAAACTTTTTCTCCTCCACCCCCCAACATCCCACTGAGTCAGGAGACTGAATTCTGCCTCTAGAATTTCATCTCCTACACTTTCAAGTACCAGTTTATCAAAACCTAGCAATATTTTTAAAATTATTGTTAGTGAAAGAGCACTCTGCCAGACAACTTTATTATAAGAAAGAATGTTATTATCAGAAAACTAGAATTCCATTTGACTCAGGACATTTATGCTTTGCATAGTTAGTGACTAATAAAAGATGTTTTTGACCAGGAACAACAACATTCATCCTTCCAAAGAACAACAAAAAGCAACGTCTTAGTCCTGTTTAAAGTACCTGGAAGAGTTTGGCATTCTGCTGGCCCTGTCTTGGAAAGACAAGCAAACAGGAGAGGACAGGAAGAAACATGGATGATCAAGGAACCGATGGGCTTTGCACAACAATCAACAACAGCTCACTGAACATCTGCCTGGAGAATATAACATTGTGGAGGGTATAAAGAAGTTGAGCATGGTGTTACTTTACTGAAGTTCAGGCTACTGGAATTCGAGAAGGGACAGTAAACCCAGGAGAGGGGGCACAGGGTGAACATAACAGGCATGACAACTTTTGACATAAAACACAGGAAAGTGCTTGACTTGCTCTGTGGACTAAACAGGGCTTGGAGCCTAAACCTGCTAGGACAACATTAAAGAGGAAAATTACAGGCTAATTTTGTTTAGAACGTAGATCTGAAATTCCACTTAGAAACAGAACACAGTCCAGATCAAAAGAATTGCTCTCTCTGTCCAAGGAGAGGTCACCTCAGGAATGCCTGCCAGTTCAACATAAAGAAAAGTTTAACTAAATACAGCAATGGACCAGTAAAAAACATAGATTATTTCTATAGATGCCAAGAAGATGCTCAATACAGCTCACCCCTCAGCACATGCCTGATTAACAATGCCCTCTTAGATGCAGAAAAAAACTTTTGATAAAATCCAACACCCCTTCTTGATAAAAATCCTCAAGCATTTAGGCATAGATGGAACATACTTCAAAATAGTAAGAGTCATCTACGAGAAACCCACAGCCAGCATACCGCTAAACAGACAGAAATTGGATCCATTTCCCCTGAAAACTAGCACAAGACAAGGGTGCCCACTCTCACCCCTCCTTTTCAACATAGCTTTGGAAGTCCTAGCTAGAGCAATCAGACAAGATAAGAACACCAGAGGTGTCCAGACAGGAAAAGAGGAAGTCAGGTTATCCCTCTTTGCAGACAACATGATGCTATACCTTGAAAACCCAAGAGAATCAGTCAAAAACTTCCTTGCACTGACTAAGGACTTTGGCAAAGTCTCAGGGTATAAAATAAATGTGCAAAAGACAGTCACATTTCTATACACCAACAGTAAACAAACAGAATCCCAAATAAAAAGCACAATTCCATTCACAATTGCCACACACATACACACACACACACACACACACACACACACACACACACACACACACACACAAATATCTTGGCATCTTTCTAATCAGAGATGTGAAAGACTTTTACAACAAAAACTACAGAACACTGCCCAAAGAAATCAAAGAAGACACAAATAAATGGAAAAATTTTTCATGCTCATGGATTGGAAGAATCAACATTGTTAAGATGTCCATCCTACCCAAGGCAATCTACAGATTTAACGCATTACCCATTAAATTAGCAGCATCATTCTTCTCAGACCTGGAAATGACAGTACAGGAATTCATATGGAAACATAAACGACCACGAATAGCCAAAACAATCCTCAGCAAAAAACAAAACAAAACAAAACAAAACAACAAACAAACAAAAAAGCAAAGTGGGAAGTATCACACTCCCAGACTTTAAACTCTATAATAAAGCTATAATAATCAAAACAGCCTGGTATTGGTTCAAGAACAGACATATAGACCAATGGAACAGGATAGAGATTCCAGAAGCAAAACTTCAAATTCTCAATCAACTCATATTCAACAAAGCCTCTGCCACCAACCACTGGGGAGAGGAGAACCTATTAAGTAAATAGTGCTGGGAAAACTGGGTGACCACACACAGAAGATTAAAACAAGACCCCTACCTATCACCATGTACAAAAATCAACTCTAAATGATCAAAGACCTAAATGTAAGACCTCAAACTATAAAAACCTTAGAAAGTGCAGGAAACACCCTTATGGAAATTGAAACTGGCAAACGATTCCTGATCAAAACCCCATGTGTCCATACCATAAGAGATAAGATAGACAAGTGGAACCTCATCAAATTGACAAACCTCTGCAAAACCAAAGAAACCATCAAGAGAGCAGGGAGGCAGTCCACAGACTAGGAAAAAATATTTGCCAACTATATGTCTGACGAAGGCCTAACATCTGGGATCTACAAATGTGCCGAAAAGAAAAAAACAAGCAGCCCCAGTACAAAGTGGGCAAAAGATATAAATAGACAGTTCTCAAAAGAATACATATGAGCAGCCAACAGATACATGAAAAAATGCTCAGCCTCACTAGTCACCAAAGAAATGCAAACTAAAACTGCACTGAGATACCATCTAACCCCAGTCAGGATGGTCATCATCAATAATTCAAAAAACAACAGATGCTGGAGAGGATGTGGCAAAAAGGGAACATGTCTACACTGTTGGTGGGAGTGTAAACTAGTATAGCCTCTGTGGA